CTCTTCATGAGCAATATTTCTATTTTCATACAAGTGTAAAACATGTATTTTTAATGTTACCGCAGTGTTTAGTTGAGCAGTTTAATATTGATTTAATATGATTATAAACAATATGTAATGAGTCTGTACTCATCGATGCTGCACATCAAAAGTCATGTGTCCAAACGTTTCTCCCAAACAGAGGAAGCTGCATGGTAAGCAAGACGAAGACGAGGGGGCAGATGAAGACACGGAAGAAAAATGCACCATCTGTCTGTCAATATTAGAGGAGGGGGAGGACGTCAGGTAAATGACTCCCCTCTTGGGTGTGTTCAATTACACTTTGTGGGGTGTGCCTGTGTGTGTTTGTGTGTAAGCCTTTAAACACAGACATATGGGGTGGCAGGTGTAGCTGTTCTGTTTTGCACCATCTCCAGAGATATATTTTTGAAAAACCCAGAGGTATATTAATCAGCAGAAAACCCCAGAGTGCCTCAAAATTACCGACCTCAAGGAATTGTATTTTGGCACACTCTCCGGTTTTTAGAGAGGATTTTCTGCCCTCTGTTGGTGTAAAAGGTGATGATGAATGTCACATTTCAGTTTGCTTAATGTTTCACTGTCCTTAAACCACAAAGATTTGACTGATTTTGAATATGTATCAAGTGGTTCGGTCATATCCTGGTAAGTCCAGGTCAGCAGCGATCACATTTTACTGTGACCATTTCCCACAAACAGACCAAATATGTTGGACTTAAATACTTTGTGTTTAGGCTTTTTTAGGCTCAGGCTCCGTCAATCAGTCGTGTTGGTCAAAACTGTGCAAATAGTTTACTGTAAGATGTGCCAGGGACTACAGGGTTTTTACTGCAGGGGGATTGTGTGTGCGTGTGTTTGCGTGTGTGCATTTCAGAGGGATGATGTCATTGTTGGTCTTGGTCTTATGGGATTTGGGGAAAATAATAAAAATATAGTCTTTCACCTGCATATTTAAACTAACAGGGTCTAAGTAAATTATTATTATTACTATTCTGCAATGGTAAAGGAAGTGAAGACATGATAATAAAAAGAGCAGAGAGAGAGCAGCAGGTAGACAGGATGAAGAGCTGGATCGCACTATGTCCTGCTTAACGTAGAAGTGAGCCACCATATATGTAGGTTTATAAAAAGATGTGTGTTTCAGTTTTTACCACTCCTCATCTCTCCTGGCCTTTGTTCTTCCGTGCAGGCGTCTACCATGTATGCACCTCTTCCATCAGCTCTGTGTGGATCAGTGGCTCCTCACCAATAAGAAGTGCCCCATCTGCAGAGTGGACATCGAGGCGCAGTTGTCTGCCGAGAGTTGATGCTGTTTTTCTAACAACCCCCTTTTGTTCAAAGTTTATTTTGAGATCATATGAATTATCTCTTCAGTACTGCAGTCAACCAAAGATGGCATGAATTACCTGTGCAGCTCCACTTTGAGAAAATAAAAAAAAAACATCTGACATAAACGCATTGAGCCTAGAGTGCCAGCTATTACATATTACTACAACAGCTAGAATTCTCCATTAAGGGTTTAAGATTTTATTGTATTTATAAAGCTTTTATGTAGCTTTTGATTGTTTCCTCAAGTGTCATTTTTGTTTTTGTTTCTCTGCATGTTTCCTTGCAATGCATTTCTTTGCACATATAACGTGGGCTTAACACGGCCTAACAATTTGCAGGTGAGGATAGCTGCTCTAGTAAAGATGCATTTCTGTAAACTCAATGCCTTGCTTTACTAGAATAGAATGTCAGCCTCCAGTTTGAAAAAAAAAACATTGCAGGATTCATTTTACCGATCATTGTATTGATTAGTTTATGTTTAGAAGATGTGGATTGTTAGTGAAAGATGTTTTTTAAGTAAATCAAGACATTCCTAACTAGGGAAATATGTTAACAGATCAGCTGCTGTATTAGTGCACACCCAGTATTTCTAGAGTGGAAATAAACTCCAATGTTCACCTCACTCCCAGAATATGCACATGCTTTGCTACGATGACACCTCCCCCTCCATCACCTTCATTTGACGAGAACACCGTTAGCACCACCATCATGTATTTTAGAGAACAAGAAAAAGAATGTCACATCCCTCTCTTGACTGTTCTTTCTAAACCGAGCGTTTTTTTGGGGAATCTGCTGTGAATCTTTTCTTAATTTAGTCGGGGGGGGGGGTTCTCCCCCTGCAGACAGGCCTGTTACAGTTTACTCGATCTCGGTAAGATGATCTCAGGGCTGTGTGTGTGAGTGTAAAGACATTTCGCATGAGCCTGCAACCTGGGGTCATTTTTGTCGACTTGATACTGGCAGTGGTGTGGACTTTGATTTCCAGTGTGTGTTCAGAGGGAAATACACAGCTCAATGTGGGATTAATATTTACTGTTTGTTCTCGCACTTCAAACCATTTTTATCCACCTGCCCTTTTGTCTCTCTGTGGTCGAGCAGCAGCGTCCGCCTCGGCTGCTGAGGAAAAGAAAAACACTAATACTGTTGACTAACTCACTCGCATAGACTTGCACAAGAGAGAAAAAGGTAGGAGAATAGTAGTGAATATGACAGTGCGCTGAGGCCATGTATTTCCACTCTGATGAATATGACAAAAAAGAAGAAAAAAACAACAATATTTTGAATGGAGTGTTGAAATGCAGTACTTAAAGCAGGTATCCATGCATTCATTGACTTAAAGGCACCAGGATCATATTCTGTGGGATTTATATTAGTTTTAAAAAATAATAAACTTGGATAACTCTTGATTCCTTTCCTTGGTGTCCTCTTTGAAACGCAGATGTTTGAGTGAATGTTGGTGTTTTATGATTTAATATTTTTTCATTTTATTTAGTAAATACACAATTTAAATACATTCTCATCTTACATTTTATCAAATAAGTACTGAAAATATTTGAAGAAAAGTAATATGTACAAATACAAAATATATATAGTATATATATAGCTATATAGCCTACTTCAATAAATCGGACTTTACTCAAACGATAAGTGATTTGCCTTCAAGTTTTACTATAGTGTAAAAACCTAAACTGCAGTCAACACATTCATATTGAAATAAAACTAATTGTGATTTGTAATTTTCAATCACAAGTCTTTTGTTTATGGCCAATAAAACCAAAGCTAAATCAGAAATTCAGCAATTTTTTGCAAATGTATCAAAAGTAAGACTGAAATATCACAACGATATCAAACTGTTCGGATGTTTTCTATATGTATCTATGTGTAGATTTTATTTGAGCAAGGCTGCAACGAAATGTAACAGGAAATTCAAGCTGTGAAAATGTTTCAAATGCTGTATGTCGCTCATCAAATGTACAATATCATCACACTAGTGATAATATATCTCTGTAAATGATTTGATTCACACTGAACACGACTCTGGAGATAAATAGATTAACAGGAAATGAAAAGTAGGACGAACTTCTGAGATGTAATAAAGGCTGAAGGTCACATACAGTTAAACCATTTCCTTCTGCTCATGATCATTAAAACTAGCTCATAACCCCCCTTGGTCTGTCCATGAGGGTTCTGAGCTAGTTTTAACGATCATGTTTCATTTCTGAGACAAACACACTGTGTTTTATTCACTTTAATGCTTATAGATGCTATAATCAATGCTACAGAAGTGTCATGTATAGAAGACTAGTGTATTCACTTGAGGAAAAACTGATGCAATGGTTTTTTATTTAGCTCAGAGAGCAATGAAGCAATGTCCCACCAGTGCAGTTTGATTCAGTCTTATTTTAGTTTGGAGATGTAAGAAATAGTTGTGTCTTTAAGCTATATAGAGGAGAGCTTCTTGCAGGATTTTGAAATAGATTGTTTCTTCAGAAAAACTGAATTTTTTTATTTAATGAAACAGAAAATTATTTTGTTGATTCAAGAAAACAAAGCAGTATTTCTTTTTATCATGAAAACAGGAAATGATCTCATTAATTTAGAAAAACAGAGCATGTCTTTTTTCTCATGTAAACATATTTTGTATCGCAGCTGGACAGATAACCAAAGCGACAATATATATTAAGAAATGTGGCTGTTGCTGCATTTTCATTAAAACCATGACCTTTAAATCGGTAAATCAAGATGCAGTACCAGCTGCAGCCGCAGGGTGGACAGGAGGGCAGACAGATGTGATCATGAATAAACCCTGAAGGGAAGTTTGTTCATGTCGTTAGATCCATGATACAAACTGTGATACTCTGCATTTAAACTTAAGAGCATGTGATTTTATTCATTCTGACCAAGTGACCGAAACAAATGTCTGGTTTTAGCAACTGACACTGTAATGACGTGGTGATGTTTGGGTGATATATTTAGTTTAGGTAATTAAAAGTAGAAAGACAAGTATCTTCAGGTCAGAGTAGAGGGAGTCTTTCATCAGCTGTTACATGTGTCACATAAGAAACTGGATAAACTAGAATGGCACTCACCACACCTCTGGTCCCTTATGAATCCACATTTAAATCCATTAGATCCAGATTTTTATTTTGTACCAATTGCACACACTCAAAGAATAATCCTCTAAACTTGACAGATCTTTTCCATGAATGACTTCCCTGGAAAAGAAATCCTGGAGTTTTCCATTTTTCCAGACTCTTTCTTTTCCCATGTCCTGTCCTTCCACTAGAAGAACATTCAGAGAGCACTGACCTCCCCCACGCAGACCCACCATCTCTCCATGTTTATCCAGATCTGCTCCAAAATGTAATGGGTTCTTCCCATTAAAAAAAAAATCCTCAATTATTTTGTTAACCTGCTAACGATAATTATTTTCAACCTCTTTATTTTAAAAATGAATAAAAAATCATCTATTTAAAAAAAATACTGTTCAGTGATTTCAGTGATTTCTTCATCAGGGCTGTATGACAGTCTGGGTTCTACTCCAACATTAGTTTATTAATATAATCAAGTGTCAACATGTAACTTACACTAAGCCACACAGCCCTGAACGTGTGTGTAAGATAAAAAAAAATAAACTGATTGATGGTCGTTCATTTAATGATCTTTTTAATAAAACAAAAAAGCAGTTCAATATACAATATTACATGCTTCATTTAGAGACTCATCTACTGTTTTTGTATTGCACAAGGATGTTTTAAACCATCCAAGATCAAACTATATTTGATGATGCAGAGGATCTATGACAGAAGTCCCAGCATTTCTTTTTACTGACTCGAGTATAATGTGGTTATTCAATTAAAATAAAATAAAAACAAATGACTAAAGGAATGTGTGAGTAATTCAACAGCAGTGCAAAGGATGTGCAGAAACAATCAAGCAGAAGCAAAAGGAATTCTTTGTAGTGCCATGGAAAAATGTTAACAACTCTTTTCTTTCTACCAAAACAACTTGACAAAACAAAAATCCATTCACCCTCGTGTGTGATAACTATTATTATCTATTTGTAGCTGAAATGGAAACAAAGCAGCCCTCTGTAAATATCAAAAGCAGGAAAAATAACTAGAATACTAAGATCCTTCAGAGAAAATACAAAAACAATAATTTAAAATCTAACCAACGACAGGCACGTTCCTAAATATGAACACATATACAGAATCAGCTCCACGACACCTGTTTGGTTTTTATCATTTCATGTAAACAACTTATTCTGCTCAGTAACTGGGCTTATTGCTTTAGCTTGGCAACCTGTCCTTCATAGACTAAACTTACTGGCTGTGGCATGAACGAGTGACGGTGTCTGTATCCAAAGGTAGTACCTGTACCAATAAAGTGCTAATACACCACAGACAGCATGCTCAGGTTACAGTATGGCCTCGACTCTGTATGTTAAGTATACTGGTGTGATAGAAAAACAAAAAAACAACAAAGATGAAGGTGGTTTTTCCAGGTGAGTCACCACGCTGCCCTCAGACAGACCTGTTCAAATTTATATTCCTTTGGTAAAATCATTAAAACACAGTGTGGTGATTTACTGAACGTCCTTTCCCGAGGAAGCAGTTACAGCTTTGCATAAAAATAAATAAAACCTGGTAAAACAGCCGTCTCTGCAGCTCTGACACCGAGACGACCCGTCTGTGCTTCAGCGATCACACCTTCATCGAAAGACGACATGTTGAAAAATAAAAATAAATCACAGCCTGGTCCCACAGATAAAGCATACTTCATTCCAGCGCTTGAAAAACGTTTGAGCTCAAATCCTCTGCAAGAGTATAAATGGCAGCGAGGAGAACACAGAAAGCTATAAATACAATAAATAGTTTTTGTTCATTACTCAAAGGGACTGTGGAGGGAAACAGACCCCTGGGTCAAACAGTGTTCTTGTCTTTAAAGCGGAGCCTCGCTGTCGATCCTGACGGTCTTTTGGTCTGGTGGCATAACTGAGGGTTACCCTCATTCACCACGCGGCAGAAAGTGGAGGAAGATTGAGTTTCTCTTCTCAGGGAATCTCGCAGTGCTTCTGTCTCCATGCCGTCGCCTGAGAGGGTCGGCGGGGACGCAGCAGGCTCCCTCCTCCCTGTGCTGTAAACCTGCAGCTCTTAGACCTTGGTGACGTAGTTGTTGGGGAAAAGTCCCTGCTTTCCACGAAGTCGTCCCATCCACCATCCTGATGCATCTGGTCGGAAAACATGACTCAGTTAGTTTACAGTCTCAAACTGAGAGTATGACAAGAATGAAAAAGCTGATAAATGACAAATGGACAGTATTTATAACTGCTTCTACAGTCTCATTCATCCATTCACACACATTTATACAGTATAAACAGGATCTATACACAACGTAGGGTTCAGTATCTTGCCCAAGGACACTTTGGAATGCAGACTTTGGGAGCTGGGGATCGAACCAGCGACCTCATGGTTAGTGGACGACCCCCCTCTACCTCGAGAAAGAGAGTCCCGCTGTGCGCTCACCCTCTCTGATGATGTCGATCAGATCGTCAGCGTTGAAGCTGAGCTCGTCTGTGTCCTGAGCATCGTAGGCGTACAGAGCTTTGCACTGCGGCACCTGCGGTTTGGGTTTGGGGGCAGGTTTGGGTCGTCCTCCTCCCGGCGGAGGTCGGCTGGCTGAGGGTCTGTGGGCTCTGAGGGATCACGAGACAAAGAGAGAAACCACACGACTGTCAGGAGGAGCTTGGTGCAGGCGGACGATAAGTGAAAGATTGAGTTCACTGTGCTGCAGTGGCTGTGAAGGAAACTCAGATGAAGGCTTTTGTAAATGGGATATTACACCGTCGTGGAGTATATCCCAGCATACAAGTACATGCATAATCACCATCTTGTTTCACTGTATGAAAATACTAAAACTCAGAATTAGATTTTTTTTTTTTAATTTTGTGCAAATATTGTGATCAATTAGAAAAATCTTTTTTTTCAGCTGTTCACACCTCAGCCACAAGATGGTGCTCTAGTGCTTTTCATAAAATGTCCTGTCAAAGACGACTCAACTAACTGAGGATCAAAAAGTTTAGGTGGCGTCACCTCAGGGAGCAGTGAGCAGAGAGTGAAGTAGTTAGTTTATACACTATATTTAATTTACTGAATAAAAATGTCTTCTGGTTAAGGCCGTGTACGTGAAAGTAAATGTCATGAATTTCTTTAGTGAAGAGGATCCCTGAGGCACAGCAGGAACTCTTTCACTAAAAAACTCTTTCAATCGTCTTTCATTACACAAATGAAAGACACGTCAAAACAGTTCACCTCTGATATCCATTAAAATCAGCATCAGCAGCAGAAAATGAAATATTAGTCATGTGCTGCAGTCGGCTCCTTCATCGAGGTGTAACTAGTTTATTTCCAGTGTAATCGAATAAAAAACAACAAGAGGAGAAGCATCAATGTGCTGCTGCTGGAAGCTTTTCTACTCGTGAACCACCACCACCAGAAACACTGCAAACACTCCAACTCACATTCCTCCATTTGAAGCTGGTCGTCTGTCTCCATTACTACAAAAGAATAAATCATCCAAATTATGTCACATCACAGAAGGTATGAGTGTGTCCATATTGACATAAAACAGTGCACGTGAAGTCAAACCAAATACTGTCTGGTAGCTCTACTGATTTGTGCGGGGATGCTGTTCCCTGGATTGTTAACAAATACACATCGAGGCACTGCACGCCAAGAAATCCAGACTATATCAAATATAAATGTGTCTTATATGTGTGAGTTCATAGGTTTATTTGTACAGAGAAGTCAAAATAATATAACAATAATCATCATATGCTACGTAAAACTCAAATCACGCTGCTACAGCATTGGGCCGTATTAGGTTTAGGGACATTAAACAGCATTTTTCTGCTGATGAGTTGATATATGAGATAATTGAAATAAACTGGAAAGAGAAAAGGGGTCTGGTCTCACCAAAGATCCAACATGTTGCTCTTTGAACCAATGGAAACTAAACTTGCTCCTTGACGTTTAGCTTTGTTGCTTATGATCAGCTTTGTATCACTCACAACACTTTTTATTTTCAGGTCTTAAGTGTAAGATTTCTATTCCAGAGCTGTGAGATGAACATATGAACTTGAACTACACAAAGTTACACAACATCTCCAAAGAGGCCGAATCACCTGCTCTGAGGATTTTAACCAAACTGTTTACAACATACAGAGAGAACAGCAAAGAGTTTTCACACGATGAAACCAACCAAAAGAGATATGACGAACTTCTGCTGCAGTGTGAAGGGTTGAACAAGTTGAATTCAACCTAATATGGCCCATCCTCATAGCACTAACACGTTGTAGTGTGTGTGTGTGTTATTTTTGATCTACTCCTGCGTGTACTGTGTGTGTGTGTGTGT